TCGATTTAGTAGTTTAGGAGTCCATCGCGGACAAACAACATGACACGTAATAAAGACGTGGTAAAGATAAAATGTGGGAAGACTGTAGCAAATTCCATGATGATCTTTTTATCGGTTTTAAAATATATCAAAAAGATACGATTATACATCCTTTTGAATTCTTTTTTATATCAATCTATTATAGCATTAGTTGCATTTTCAATTATCTCCATAGTTTTCTTCAGAAAACCCTCAGAGCTCTCCCTCATGAGGTACATCAGATACCTCCGCTTCAAGTGTTACTTAAACATTTTCAACCAAATGTTATCATAGTAATGTCAATCTTTATTATATAATAATACATAATCATAAAACTTTCTAATAATAAAGACGCTGTATTTAAAATAATAAATATACATAAACACCAAATAATCCGTTAATATTGTAGAATAATCTGAAAATGCAGAATTCGCAGTCAGAATTCCTTTAAAAGATTAAATTAAGGTTATACTATAGAAATAGAACGTCAAGTACATACCTTATTTTTATATATAACACGCATAGTTTAAATAGATACAAATAACAGCATCCAAAGAGAGCAATCAGTAATATTCAAACATTCAAATAATTATTCAAAATTCATTTGCAGGGCGCTTTGTTAATAACTCTGCGCGTAAATTGAAATTACAAAGTTAATTATATCAATAAAAGTGTTATTTATACATATATATTTTATATAAAGTTATGAAATAAATAATTACAATTTGTAAATTATAATACATTCTTCAAAAATTATAAATATCGTGTAATATATACAACAAAATAACATTAAACAAAAGATTTTCTTATCACCATTCCTTTTCAAGTCACAATATCTAAACACATTTTATTTTTTTATTTAATAAGAGTCATTACATTTTGTTAACAAAATTAATGATAATATAAATTTAATAATAATTTATTTCAACACTATTACTTTAATGTTGGTAAAAAAATGCGTTGATACAATTTTAAATAAATACAAATTATTTATACGTTTCAAATATTAATAATATTCATTTAATTAAAAAATATTTTTTTAATTAATATAAAATTTACAAAACAATATATAATTGTCTGTGGAATATTAGATTTTAATATAAATAATTAAATTAAAATTAATGTAACTTGTATACATCATGGCATTCAGAACGTTATATATTATCAAGAATATAATAATATATGTCATAAAAGACCATATACAAAACCATCCAAAATTGGTATTCATAAATATCCTTACATCTAATGATATGTGTCTGATACAGGTTTTTTATTGCTAATAATATAATATAATATAATCTTAATTATGTATAAAATATATAATTGCACGTATATAGAATTGAATACGATTCACAATGGTTCACAACATAACACATCGCAAGGAACTGTGTCGCGTATTTCGACTAGCTTGAATTGTTACTGTTTGATTTGTTAATTATATCGAAAATTATACCCTCAAAATTATACATAATTATGTACCATTATAGATTTCTTTAATCTGTTTACAAACTTCATTTAAGTATTATTGATATAGTTAAACTGGTTTTAACATGAATAATTTTATGGTAAATAAAGTTATTTACCTCTCTCGACGTTTCGACTAGGTTGCACTTGCCGTGGTCACGAGTTGACTGGAGTAACAGCGATTTTCAATGTTGATAAGCGCTGTGGTGCTTGAGTTAAAAGCCTTTTAACTATATTAATAATATGTGAAATCTAGAAATTATACAAAGTTCAAGTTTTCAATAATGAGTATATTGAATTCTCTTATTTCAATAATTGAAGTAGGTATATATTCAATATATTGAATTCATTTATAAGTATCAGTATATCATGGACATTATCAAGATCATTCATTGATAAAGAGATACTACTTATAAATACACTATAAATAAATTAAATTTTATATATTATATCCAAATACACGGTACAATTATGTCTTATTATAAATATTATGACTCTTTGTCCTGGCTCTACTAATTAATTGAATTTCGGGAGAATTTGACACGCAAATTGACAAATTTACAATAATTTACATATATAAATGCGAATATTTGATTTTATCAATTTAATTATAATAATAATGATCTATAGTGCCCGTTGTGGTAATAAATACCATAGGTTAGATATGCAACTATCTAAATATAATTAAAAGTAGATATTTTGTGCCGAAAGTATTTTTGTGCATGTACGAGTAGGTTCCACTATCATTACTATTGTACTCTGCAGGCTGGATTCTATATTTATTTTTTTATAGTTCAAAATGCAATGCGAATATATTATTTTTTAATTAATCATACATTCACGTAACTTTTCAAGCGTAATAAGTAGGCAACACAAAATAACGTTACCTTAGCATTCTCAATATAACAGTTTAACACATAATATTCACATTAATCATTTTATTTATACAATCTTTCAATTGACATGTCGGGCCCTTTACTTTTTCTTGTACAATTTTACTTTAGAAATCATATAAGTTTGTATCTTTTTTAATTTGTGCAAATTAATTTTTCTCGTCATTCGGATGGATAATATTACTATTAATGTTTAAAAAACAAAAAAGGATCAATGTAATACACAAACGTACAAACATAATTTTTTTATATATCTTTACATAGTATAAAATGAATACGCTTCTGCTAAGCGAACAGGCTTAGATCTTTTGAACTCCCCAACGGATTTTAATACAGTTTTTAGGATTAGATAGAGCACGACATGTACATCCGAGCGTGTAGCTAGTTAACATTTAATTATTAATAATTGAATAAATTATATAATATTCATAATTTAATTAATTATATAAATTAATTATTAAATTGTATAATTATATAATATTATTGCATATTGAAGTGGCAATGGGCAGGGCACATAGCTCGTAGGACAGATGGCCGTTGGGGCAGTAAAGTCCTCGAGTGGCGACCACGGACCGGAAGACGCAGCGTGGGAAGGCCTCCAGCAAGGTGGACCGACGATCTGGTCAAGATTGCGGGAAGGCATTGGATGCGAGCAGCGCAGGACCGATCGTCGTGGAGATCTTTGGGGGAGGCCTATGTCCAGCAGTGGACGTCTTCCGGGCTGCGATGATGATGATTGCATATATATTTTTTAAATGAGAATCATGTTATATTCTTTTAAAATATCATCCGTCCGAATGACAATATCACATTGTAATTAATACAGCACATAATCGCTAATTAATAAAATATACTAACCTAAGTACATAAATGTACAATTGAAGAAAACAGTCTACTTACCGCTGTACACTTACAGAATTATACAATTTAATTATATATAATCCACTTAGCCTAATTGAATCAAAAGATTCTGATATGTTTCGTTACCTTGGTTGCAACTTTATCACAAGTTGTCCCTTAACTAATTTACTAATTGATATTATAATTGATATTGATTAATTCATATGTGTAATTGATATTATAATGACATATCCCTACAATAATATTGGTAATAATGTTATGCATTATTTAATGATGGACAGATAATTGAAATTAGAATTTATAATGATCATATTAATGATATTGTGTTAATTGAAAAATTATGAATATTTATTAATTAATTGTTATAATCAATCCATTTCGAAATTTCTGAGGTAAATTTCTAATGATTTTGTTTGAAGTGTTTCTTGTTTTCTTTGCTGTAATTTGATTAATTTGTAATAATACAAAGACACTTTTCGAAACTATGTACATAAGTATGATTTGTATAATTATAAGATAATGTATTAAAGTTTTCTTTCCTTTTTTTTTGCAATCACGTCAGCATTCAACATCATTATGATTATTCCAAATATAGACATTAATAGACATTAGAAATTTATCATTTATTAATATTATATTATAAATATTTGCATTCCGATGCAATACAAATACAATTTCAGTATGCAAATCGTAATTTTAATAATTATCTACGATTTGATTATCAATTGATAAGTCAGCAGTGCCATTAACATAATCATTCAATATAACGATTATGAAACATTATTATGTCTGTTGTTAGATAAACATATTTTTAGACATAATTTCACGTGCTGTACTTAATTTTAAAATAACTTTAAAGGTGCCAAAAGAATTAATAATATATATGATTTCTTAGGCCCTTACATTGAATAGTGCTTAGTAGCGCTTCCTTACACTAAAACCTACTGTGCATAATGTAAGTCTTTCTTTACCAGTTTCTACCTTAATTAATTTATCATTAATGCTTTAAGCCATGGTTTCATACCTTATATTCGCATCACCAAAGTTGTAAATTCAAACAATTCTGATTCATACTAAACAAGTTCTAAAGCATCTTTGCTATCTATTATTTAATTTACAATATATACTGTATCATTTTTAATATTATCAGATTCAGTATATATTAAATTGTTCTGTGTTATTAATATGAATCAGCTATGTTCTTAAACGTTCTTTATAACCCGTCGATTATTAGATGTAAGTAATCGGAGCAATGTACGCTAACCTTTCTCTGGACTTAAACTATTTTCTAATTCTAGTATATACGCTAGATTACGTTTGGTCACGCATCGGCTTGTCTTGTTAGTTTGATATTAATCTATACAGTTTAGAAGGCATAATCAACAGTTATTATATCCGAACAATACAAGATCAACAAGGAGAACTGCCTCCAGAATAGCAACATTTCATATCACACTTCTGTACCTTTCCTTCTAAGTACATTATCTAAGTAAGACTTGAAGTCTCCATCGTACAGTACCATGGTTCTAATACAGAATCTGGTACACAATATCCACTCAGTATTCCATAGGGCCATTCTGAAAGCAGTCAATAATATACTTACTACATAGTTACAAAGCACAGCTATTAAATAGACATCTAGTCAGACACTAAATAACTCGCCGCTGATGTTACGCAGCTCAGTGATCGAAGTAATACCCAAAAGACATTTATAATTACACAACAAGTAAATTCAAAAAATATAGACAACATTGATTAGGTGTTCTAAAAGCCTTGTCGGAAGGGGTTTTTCACAGGCCCCGGCGCAGGATTTGAAGCGACTGGAGCAGGCGCTGGTGGTGGTGCAGTGCCAGCTCGGAACGGGTTGCTAGCAGGCTGAGGCTGTGCCGGCAACTGACGCTGATTGTACCCCTGTTCCGGAGCTTGTTGATACTCCTGCTGATACCCTTGTTGCTGTTGCTGGTCATAGCCCTGACTATAATTTTGATAGCCTCCTTGATAAGATTGGTCGTACGAGTAGTTTCCGGTATTGGCGTCCACATTCGACTCTTGGATCCCTCCAGTTTGCCCTTGCATGTTAGAATATTCCAGATGGTTCTTATATTCTCCATTAACTGGCCTTTGATCTTGCATACTGTAAGTTTGATATTCCTTTTCTGGTGGATCTCCCATCAATATATTGGCCTCGTTTTCGAATGGTTTAAAGTCGTAGATATGACGTAGGTACATCAGTACTGGGGCATACAAGAGATTACTGAAAGCTATGAAGAGATTCAGAGCTGTAAAGCCTATGGCTTCAACTACTTCACCTGCAATTATAGGTCCTACAGCATATGCAAAGGAGTAAGATATATCAGCTATTGCATAAATGCTTCCGTAAACTGATACATAGCGAACGTCGACCAGATAACCAAGTGTCGGTAACAGAGCAGTATCGATGAGAGCAATACCAAAACAAATTCCGCAAATTGGTATCATTAGCATTTTGTACGAGCTCGCAAAAGGTATAATGAAACAACATAAACCTTCCAGAGCCAGGCCACCAGCAGCCATTAACCACTGCTGTTGAGGATATTTTCTCGCCATTTTCACCGTGATTATTACGCCAAGCACGTGAGGAAAGAATGCTGGTAGCCATATCATACCAATTTTCCAATTATCTTTCGTGAGATTGTCTTCCATCCATAGAGAGATTGTGGGCTCGAGAAATGCTAAAGCCACATTTGACATCATAAGTGCTCCAGCGCAAACAGCAATGTATGGGTCCATTAGAAGTTTCCATATTGGTGTACCAGCTGGTTTGGGTTGGCTAGCTTCCTTCATTTGGGTTTTTAGTGGTTTCATTACCAGCAACAACATGAATCCATCTAATAGCGATATCAATGCAAGAATCAGAAATGGGACCTCTTTGCCAGCGAATTGGTATAAGGCACCTCCAAACGGTGGTGCAACAAGGCAACCAAAACTGATAAAAGCGAGAGCAATACCTAAAGCTTTAGAACGCTCAGCTTCTTCTGTGAATCTGTCTGCAATCATAGCCAGACCTGCAGTATCAGCGAATGCTGATCCCACTCCTTGTAGACTTCTCGCAAAGAACAACATACTGTAGCTTCGCCCGCATGCAAAGATTGACGTTGATAGAAACATTATTATAAGTCCAATCATCATGGGTATGTCATACCCGATACGGTCAATTAAGGCACCAGAAAAGGGATTGATCATGAGCTGTACTATTGCTTTAGATGCAAATAATACTCCTGTAGCTGATTCTTGCCCCTCGTGGGATGCTGGAATGATTTTTGTAGGTGTAATTGTTTTATTACCCTCCTTGTAAGGTGCTAAGGTAACGACATGATCGTAACCAGCCTCGCCCCATGCACCGATATATCTGAGATAGTCTGGAATAATCGGCACAATCACCATATACAACATGTTGTCCAACAGCAGTGCTATGGAAACTATTACTAAAATTATCTTTCTCTGAGAAGTGGGTTCTTGTATCTTCTCCCATAGTACCTCGCGAACCTCCCTGACCTCGAGGTTCACGACAGGAATGACTGTATGGTCGATTTTCTGCCATACTGACTGCGGTTCCTCCGCCATCTTTAATAGTAATTCCTATTTCAGATGTCCACAACGTTTATCTCTTATGAGAACCTGTGAGCATGTTCGATAAGATTTGTAGTCTTTTTCCTCTTCTTGTGTATCGTACCCGTCTCTCGCTTACTGTTCATTTGCTAAGTGATGACCCCCGGCGCGACGCTCGAATGGGACTTCGGAACCTGACAACAAACAGAAATGATCACTTTATTATCATTTCCTTGAGATATAGTGTAAGGAATGCAGTGGAATAGAGTCGTTTCAAAAGGAATTTGAGTCGATCTTTGTTTCTGTTAGTTGACATGGTTCCTCTGTCCCGAGCGGTATCATATCGAGAGCTCTTCTATGTCCAAAGATGATTCAGAGTCCTTTTGAACAAAGCACAAGGAAAACTATAATTATTAAGTGCACTATGAACACTAAGATCATCCGCGACACTCGTTGCAAACAGAAATTGTAGTCCCGTATTCTTAAAAGTTTTAGAAACTCATAACTATTAATAATTCTTACTTTCTTTCGTTTAAATATGCTTGAATGAAAATCAACGCTTTGAGAAATAAAGTGAGGGAAACATTCAATCAGTGCAATAACTAAATGGTTCATTGTACAATGTAGTCAGAAGATAAGTTTTAATTATTAGGTACTTAAATAAGGGAAACACAAGAAAGGTATTCTGTTCTGTTTAGTCTACATGTAACTTAATTAAAACTATTATCCTTGTTTTGGGAAGGAACAGACCTACTCAATACGCTCACAAAATTTCATGAGAATCGGTCAAGCCGTTTCGGAGGAGTATGGGAACGAAAACTGTGACACGAGAATTTTATATACAAGATTTACGAGATACTATCTGACAGAAATAAAGGATTTTCGAGTTTAGTTACGCAATAAAATTCTGAACGCACCCTGTTTGACAGTTAGTATGGGAAAATAAAATTGTACATTCATAGCATAGTTGCAATTTCTTCATATTTTATCACCATTTAAACCTTCCCTCGATTTCCACGAACATTTCAAGACTAAAATTAGCCAAATCAGTTCAGCCGTTCTCGAGTTTTAGAGAGACTAACGAACAGCAATTCTTTTTTATTTAGGATATAACGATTAATAATAATAATAATAATAATAATAATCTCAGGACAATTCACACAGCGCCATCTAGACCTATGTTAAGCTAGCTAAAGCTTGTGTTATGGGCACTAGACAACTGATACAAATACATAGATATTTTTTTTTTTCGTAAATACATACATATTATACATAGAAAACACCCAGACCGATACAAACAATCATACTCATGAATACAAATGTTTGTGCCGTGCGAGGAATCGAACCCGCGACCATCGGTCGTAAAGCGGTGTACTAGACCGCTAGACCACCGAGGTCGTCAATGACTAATGATTAATGAAATGAATATTGAGAAATGCTTATTAAATGAAACCTTTTAGTAAACGATTATGGGACCTTTGTTAATTGTTGAGACAAAGGATTTTAAACATGTTAGACATATACACTTAATTTAATTAATTTTCGTAGCTAAACAACAGAATATAACGAAAAAATTAAGAGGACCTGTCTTTGCAGAATTTTTTTCTCTACAACTTTTATTTAAAACATTTTTTCATATTTCTTAGCGTTATCGAGTTATTTTAAAAAGAAGACGTTTTCAACCCTTTTTTTAAATTTTGCATCCCTTTCCCGTTAACTTAAATCAAAATTTCTTTCTGAAAATTATTATTCATGTATTTTCATTGGAGACAGTGTAAGAGAAGTCTCGAGAATTTCTCAAGGGCGGGTCCAGCTTTGGCACCAGAAGGGGGTCACATAGTCGTGGTCAAGTCAAGAACTTATAATTTAATTTTGATAACAATAGATACAAGTACAAAGTAGGTATTTTATTAATGTACGTAAGTACTGTATTTAAAAATATTTATTCTTTATTGTACACTTGAAAAACATAACACATAATAACTTGTATATACACGTACAATGTACATATTGCCATATTCTCTTGAAGACATCCACAGAAGCATTAATTAAATATTCAAGGTATGTAGTTACATAAAATCTGTATGGTGACAAAATCTAAATATATACAACTCAAAGGTGACTGACATAGTGATCTATCAACGCACAGCCCAAACCACTGGACGAATCGGGCTGAAATTTGGCATGCAGGTAGATGTTATGACGTAAGCATCCGCTAAGAAAGGATACCAAGGATATAAAATAGGGGATGAAAGTTTGTATGAAACTTTGTCAATTTTAAACCGATCGGGCTGAGACTTTGCACGCATAAAGCTACAATGACGTAACCATCCCCTAAGAATGGATTTTGATAAACTCCACACCTAAGGGGATAAATTAACGCGAGCGAAGCAGCGGGCAAAAGCTAGTATAGGAATAAAATCATTATGTTCCATTAATGGTAAAAAATAAGTCCTGAAACCAGCTAGGGGTGGAGGGGAGTCATGATCCCCATGCCCCCCCTGGAGGCGCCGTTTGAATCTCTTATATATTCCAGCTGGTGTACCAGGACAGCATAATTCTAACGAGATGTTTTTAGTAAATCCAATTTGCGTCGAGTCATAAAGATTCCCCGAAGCCAAGGCATTACGTCTACAAAGGGTCGGCTTCGTTCTCTCCTCGTATTCACAACGAAAATGGCTTCTCATCAAATTGGCAATTCGATCTTTTTGGGCCTTTACATTATGTCACGTTTTAAGAGATTTTCTTACAAGACGCTTCATGTCGAGATTAACTTATTTTCTATCTATACATATAAATAAATTTGTAATATTGAAATAACCGTTTTTTACTACTTGCATATGAATATTAATTATGATATTATGATAATTAATTTGTCTGTCTGTCTGTCTGTTTGTTCCGGCTAATCTCTGAAATGACTGAACCGATTTTGACGGAGCTTTTTGTGTCAGGTAGCTGATGTAATAAGTAGTAACTTAGGCTACTTTTATTTTAGAAAAATAACGCTAAATTCCACGCGATATATTTGTTTTTTATTTGTAATTAACTAGACGAATCCCATGGCACTACCCGCAAAAGTAATATTATATTAAGCATTAGGTAAAATACTGGCTTAGGACAATCATTTAAGTTTAAACTTATCCATTACAAATAAAATATTAAATCTTTTTTAAATCCCTTTTTAATTTAATTTAGTCTAGTTTTTATTAAAACTTAATTGTTTTATTATTCATTACATAGTATAAAACAAAGTTGCTGTCGCTGTCTGTCGCTATGTATGCTTAAATCTTTAAAACTACGCAACGGATTTAGAAGCGTATTTTTGATAGATAGAGTGATTCAAGAGGAAGGTTTATATGTGTAACACATGTAGGCGACGCCGGGGCGAGTAGCTAGTACTTTATTGTTTCTATGTGGTGACCGAGTTAGTACCATAAAATAGAAAACGAGTCATAATGAAGTAGAGAGAACCAAAATCAAAATTAAACATAACACTTTATAGATAATGAATTGGGTCAACAAAGTAGAGCACCAGAAGAAATTCAAGTAAGGAAACGAAATTAACTAATTTGTAGCAGGCCAAGGGTATACGAGTACTAAGTTACCAGGTCATGGTTGAACCATAGTGCACTTTATAAGAGATTTAACAAAGCAAGTGGTTTTGCTTGTCTATTCTTTTATATTGGCACTCTACTTGTGAAGTATAGTTTAGTAGTTATGTCACAGATACATAAATAATGTGAATTACGAGCTTGCATGGCAATAGTTGTTCATGTTCGGGATTTTCATTTAATGTCAGACATAGACACCTATATAAGTGAACAATTTAAACAGTTCAGTTCTTCTCAATTGAATCAATACTGAACTGAATGGTATGGACGGTTTTTTTTAAAGGATGATAATGAAATGGATGCTGCCTGCGCTAACGGTTTACACTGGCCACCAGTGGAGGATGATAGGATGAACATGAAGTCTGATCAGTTAGCCCAACGTGACGAATTCACCGGGAATGTATCACGATGGTTTCCAGGGGGAACCGCGTGGAGGTCGACCTGACGGTAAATTTCTAGCAATGGGATCATTAGTCCACATTACTAACAATCCGACTATCTAATATCTAACAATTTACGACCAATGTGTGTTGCCAGTGATGACTTACGGAACAGAGATGTGGTCGCTAACTATGGGCCTCATCAACAAGCTCAGAGTCACTCAGAGGGCAATGGAGAGGGCTATGCTTGGAGTTACTCTGCGTGATCGAATCAGAAATGAGGAGATCCGCAGAAGAACCAGAGTGACCGACATAGCCCGAAGAATTGCGACTTTGAAGTGGCAATGGGCAGGGCACATAGCTCGTAGGACAGATGGCCGTTGGGGCAGTAAAGTCCTCGAGTAGCGACCACGGACCGAAAGACGCAGCGTGGGAAGGCCTCCAGTAAGGTGGACCGACGATCTGGTCAAGATCGCTGGAAGGCATTGGATGCGAGCAGCGCAGGACCGATCGTCGTGGAGATCTTTGGGGGAGGCCTATGTCCAGCAGTGGACGTCTTCCGGGCTGCGATGATGATGATGACTAACAATCCACTTCCCCCCATTAAACATTTGACGTTCATAAACGGCTAAAATGTCCTATATGAATCAATTCTGATTTGATTTGATTTGATTTAAACTATAATAGTAGTCTAATGGTCCTACTTTATTTCAATACTCTCATACCTAAGGATGTCTGGAGGATATTGTGTTAGCTGACTCTGCCTTCTTTCAAATTCAAATTCAAAATATCTTTATTCATGTACGTCTATTACAGACTCTTATGATATATCAAATCTATCAATCTACAGACGGGTGTTTCACTTATTTCGTATGCTTTTATATTTATTATATTTCAATGGAAAAATACTGTAATGTTACTTTCAATTTATATTTTTGATGTTCAAATTCAAAATATCTTTATTACAGACACTTATGATATGTTAAATCTACCGTCAGTTCGGAATGATTTCGAGATGAGAAGA